ATGGGCGCTAGGGAGCTATATGGGACCGTGAGGAGGGAGGGCTCCATGGGCCCTAGGGAGCTATATGGGACCTGAGGGGGAGGGCTCCATGGGCCCTAGGGAGCTATATGGGACCTGAGGGGGGAGGGCTCCATGGGCCCTAGGGAGCTATATGGGACCTGAGGGGGGAGGGCTCCATGGGCCCTAGGGAGCTATATGGGACCTGGGGAGGGCTCCATGGGCCCTAGGGAGCTATATGGGACCTGGGAAGGGCTCGATGGGCGCTAGGGAGCTATATGGGACCTGGGGAGGGCTCGATGGGCGCTATATGGGACCTGGGAAGGGCTCGATGGGCGCTAGGGGGCTATATGGGACCTGGGAAGGGCTCGATGGGCGCTAGGGGGCTATATGGGACCTGGGAAGGGCTCGATGGGCGCTAGGGGGCTATATGGGACCTGGGAAGGGCTCGATGGGTGCTAGGGAGCTATATGAGACCTAAGGAGGGCTCAATGGGCACTAGGGAGCTATATGGGACCCGGGGATAATTCTATGGGGTTCTAGCCTGGGGGGGGCTATAGAGACTGGAGGGTCTGTGTAAGCCCTGGGGGGGGCGGGGACTCTATGGGCCCGGGAAAGGTGTAACGGCCCCGTGGGGAGGGAACGAGGCTGCCGCTCTCCGGCCGTTCTCCCCCAGTTCCCATGGCAACAGGGAAGAAGGCGCCGGAAGGGGCGGAGCGGCGGCGGCGGCGGCGGCGCGCCATCCCTGTCACGTGGTGGGGCACGTGACGTCACGCTGTTGTAACGTCTAAGCCGGTCCGAGCTCCACACCTGATGTTGGGTCGCCGGTGAAGCTCGCTGCGGGAAGGCGGGAGCTGCCACCTGCACTGGGGTCAGAGGTCAGTGGAAAGCCTCCCCCCCACTGGGGTCAGAGGTCATCCTAGACCCATCCTAGGTCAAAGTTCAGGGAGGGAGCCCTCCATCCCTACTGGGGCCAGGAGGTCATTCCAAGGTCAGAGGTCACTCAGGGGTGATCCCTTCCCACCCCCAGTTCCTTAGGGCACCCCCCAGTTGTGGGCTTCCCCTTCCTCACTTGTTGCTGCTGCAGCTTGGCCTCTGGGGGGCGGGGGGCTGAGCCACAAGGCAGGGCCCCTCCCCGCAGCCCCCCATTCAGGCCAGTGGTCCCCCCCCCCTCCCTCAGCCCCCCATTCAAGCCAGTGGTGCAGCTCTAAGCCATAGAGCCCGCGCTGGTGTGTTAGAGCCTGGCTGGGGCTAGTCTAGTCCAGTCCTTGCTGCCCCGAGTAGAAGGGACGAGATTGCCCCCGAATCCTCATCCTGCCTCCACCGAGCTCCATGAAATTTCCCAAGATGCTGCTAGCAAGCAGTTGTGAAATCAGCATCTGGTGGGTAGGTGAACGATTCCTGCTCGTTGCACCCGGTTGCATCACCAGCTTGCGTTACAAGTAACAGAGACAACATTTGTGGGCTGCGTTGACAGAGCAAGTCTCAACGTTTGCTATCTCTGCACTAGAAGCCATGTGGAGGAATTGTGTTAGGTTGGCAAGGGGGCTTGGTTGCGGTGCATTCCTCCGTCCGGATCCAAAGGTGTCACGCTGCGGTGTCGTTCGAGGGTTAAGCCCAGCTGCCCCATGCAGTCCGCTCTGGAACTCAGTGGTGAGTATCGCTTCCCAGTTTGAGAGATGCATGAACTGAGCAGGGGACGGAGCCGGAAGCCAAGAGGTTTTTAATCTTAACTCTGACCCTGATTCTGTTGCTGGCCTTGGACATATCTCTTAATTCGGGTCAAAAGTGGCCACTCATCTGTGATCATTCAATTTCTGGGTGCCCAACTTGGGGTCTGCTTTTCAGGGGTACTGAACATCTCCCAGTGTCTCTGCAGTTGTAGGCACTCAGGATTTATGACTATTAGACCACAGTGTGTCAGCTTGAACTCACAGATGTTGAGGCACCTAAAATCAGTGGCTAGTCTTAATTTCTCAACCTGTCTGCCTCCCAGTTCCCCATAATTTGAAGAGAGAGAGAAATGTTTTGGGAGGGCGGGGGGGGGGGAGCTTTCCTACCCTATGGTGAAAGGCATTATACAATCACCAGGTAGTATTAGTGGTTGTAAATTTTGAAAACCATTGAGTTGAAGACAGTTCAGCTTCCTCCTATCTATACAAAATGATTTAGTATTCTAGCACAGAACTGCAGTTCAGATATATGCTTTTAAGGTGAATCTTCTCCTACCTACCCATCTAATAGTTCATTTGGCTGAAAACACTTCTGATGAAACAGAAGACAAAACAGAGAGAAATGTCTTTTAATTATTCCCTTATTACCCTGGGTGAAAGCTGTATGTTTGTTTAAAAATGTGTTCTGTGCTGAGAGAATGTATGCGTGGCCCTCTTTGCCAGGCTACTGTGAGGAAGGGATACGAATCTGCAGACAGATGGCTAGCAATTGCAATTCTCTGAAAATAATCAGAGGAAGAATTCTTGTGTCTGGAATATGAAGCGTTATGAACAACACCACGTTATAACAAAGATGTTTTTGCCTTTCTTAAATATAACAAATAAATACCATTGGAATTTTATTTGCTATATTAAACTTTTTCTTGAGTATCTCATGGGTTGCTCTGTGTGATTGAATTATGCACCACCTTCATTTCTGTTCCTTAAAACAGTCATAGAAGACTTTATGCCAATAAAATCACATGAAGGTATTTTTAATCCCAATTCCTAGTTTGGAAATATTTCTAGCAGACAACGTGATTAACACATTAGGGCTACCTTTGTTATAGGCAGCAGTCTCCTGAATAATAACACACTATAGTATATGGGCCAAAACTTGAGGTTTGAAGACCAAAGAGCAATAGAAAAGTTTTTGATTGTTGTTCTTCAAATGAAGTGTTATTTTTTAAAACCAAACTTTGATCTGCTATGGTTTGTAACATGGCAGCAGAGGTGCTAAAACTGAAAGGGATTGTAATCGAAAGCAAAAGTGACTTTATCGATCTGAGATGCATTCAGTCAACAAAGCATCCATAATGACTGTAAATTGGATTTGGAAACTTGTAAGTAAGTTAAGTTTAAAAAAAAAAAAGCCACTTAACCGTGAGTCTGTGTTGATAGAGCGATATTTTGCTACCCCATTAAAGTATATTCTGCTTACTTGGGGAAAAAATGATATACTGCTGACTTGATGCCATTGGCTAATTGCATCCAATGAAGGAGGGACTACTGCATTTCGACCCTGGAAAGAATCTCACTAGCTAACATAACAGCTGGACAAGGTGGGGGGGCTGAAGACTGAGTATGGACCACACCAGTCTTCAAATATGTGAAAGACTGTTAGAAAGAGGACAGTGACCAGTTGTTCTCCATGTCCCCTGAAGGTAGGATAAGAAGTAATTGGCTTAATCTGCAGCAAAGGAGACTGAAGTTAGATGTTAGAAAAACCTGCTGACTATAAGGATTGCTAAGCGTTGGAATAAGTTGCCAGGGGAGGTTTTGGAATCCTTATCATTGGAGGTTTTGAAGAACAGGTTAGACAAACTAATACTTCGTCCTGCCATGAGTGCAGGGGGCTGGACTAGATGACCTCTTGAGGTCCCTTCCAGTCCTACGATTCTCTGAAACACCTGTCAGGGATGGTTTAGGTTTACTTAGTGGTGCCTCAGTGTGGGGGACTGGACTAGAGGACCTCTCAAGGTCCCTTTGAACCCTAGATATCTATGATAAGGTGCACTTAAGTGACTCTGGATTTGTGTGGTGGTTTATTCTGTCTTGTGACTGCTTCTGAAAACCTGTTCAGTGTTCACTAGATAAATAACAGCATCCCATTGCATCCTTGCATGGAAACCTTCTCACAGGAAGTAAAAGGAGAATGATGTTTTCCAAAAGGCGATGCAGTCAGTGCACCTTTCAAAATTGTCCTGCTAAACCCTATGCAAAAAGGAAACCCAAGACAAAGCAGGCAGATTGCATATACGACTGTCTGGATCTCTGCCTTGTCAAATGGGGTGGATTAAAGCTTTCATGGTGCTTTGAAGGCTCAAAGTGCTAGATGAATGCTTATCAGGATTATTAGGAGATGGTCACCAGCTTCACGGTGTCTCAACAATTTCTTTTCAGACCTGGCTCTCTCAGGCCAGAGAGTTGAAGGATTATGCCCTCCCCAACTCCAGCTGGAGCCAGGGCATGATGGATTTGTATAGCAGGTTCCTGGAGATGTGTAAAGATGGGACATGGAAAAGGATTCCTTCCTACAGCAATAGTGTTGATCATTTACCAGGCAAGTCTTTCTGGTGTGTGTGTGTGTGTGTCTGTCTGTGTGTGTGTGTCTGTCTGTCTGTCTCTCTCTCTCTCTCTCTCTTCCTCTGGAATTCTGGATCAAGTATTCACCCTACTTCCTTTACCTTGTCCGGTATGTGTTGGGGTTGCCACGAAAGCCTTGAAGACATGCACTGGCTCACGGGCTTGAGTTTTCCTTCACCAACGCTGGTGTAAATTCAGAATAGTGCTAGTGGGGACTGGTGTAACTGAGGGGAAAATCAGACCCCCTATCTTTACCCTGAGATACTTTTTGTGTGTGTGTGTGTGTGTTACCACTAACCATCTCACATTCCTGTTGCCACCTCCTGGGTAAAGGGTAAAATCAACCCCAGCTCTGGCAAACAATGTCTGTTCACTCTCCTATTTGTAAGTGCCTGTTCTGGATCAGACCAATGAGCCATCCTGTCTCTGATAGTGGCTAGTAATACACCCCCTTTCCCCCATAGCGAATAACTATGCAAAGATGGTAGTTTCATCCCAACCCCAAGCAGCTGATGGCTCGGTTTAGATCTTGAACCTTGAGGGTTGATATGCCTTATTTACCCCTCTATCCAGCCAGCGTAAGTCTGGAGAATAGTTTCTTTATTTCTATCAATGACTAATCTTTTTGAATCCTGCCTCTATAATATCTTGTGTCCAGCATTTCTTAGAAGTCAGTTACCAAATGAGAATTCTATTGATGTTACTTCCCGTTACATTTCCTTGTGTGTATTTTGGTTTGGATCTAAACATTCCCCTTCCCCCTGTGCAGTCCAAACTGCAAATGTTGTGGTCAGCTGTTTCTCCTGCAACCATCTCTGTGTTTCTTTCCATGCCGCCCTTTAGGCATGAAATATGCTTCCAGTCTGCCAAACCACTCTCCCCTCCTGCAGACTCATGTTCTTGGAGGCGCCCATAGGAAACGAGTCAGTAACGAACATTAGAAACAAAAAAAAACCCTCTCTTCCTTGTCTCCCTTCCTCTGAGCTTCCCGTTGCATCCCGTGAACTCTGTGCCTGTCTGTATTTTGTGGCTGGCTCAGTGGTAAGCACATTGTCCCAGTTTATCAAACAGCAAATACCAACATTTCACCTGTGTTCTAATGCAGGAGAACTAGAAAGCGAAACTGACTAGCCTGGCTTTACAGGTCAACCCAATTAAATCTGAAAAGCATCCGTAGTGGAAAAATCACCTTAGCCTTGTAATATTTTGAATCCTAACAATCCAAGGGATCGTTAGCCATACAAGTAAGGGATTTAGGCCCAGATCCACAAAGGTATTCAGGCTCCTAACGTCCGCCATAGGTGCCGACTCCGTGGGTGCTCCGGGGCTGGAGCACCCATGGGAAAAATTAGTGAGTGCTCTGCACCCACCGGCAGCCAAGCTCCCCCCCCCACCCCCCCTCCGCCTCCTCCCAGTGTGCTGTGTCTCTGCTCCCTCCCTCCCAGCGCTTGCCGCCACCAAACAGCTGTAGCAAGCTCTGGGAGGGAGGGGGGAAGAGGCGGGGCCAGGGATTTGGGGAAGGAGTTGAATAGGGGCAGGGAGGGGGCGGGGTGGGGGCGGGGACTTTGGGGAAGGGGTTGGAATGGGGGCGGGAGGGGTGGGGTTGGGGCGGGGACTTTGGGGAAGGGGGCGGGACCAGGGACAGATGGGGGTCGAGCACCCACTGGCTCCAGAAGAAGTCGGCGCCTATGACGTCCGTGGAAATCTTTGTGCATCTGGGTCTTCGTTTTTAGCCTGGTGCTGTACCTTTAACTCCTAGCTGCTTTGCACCTTGCCGCTCATTTGTTGTCACTTTTCTTCCACCCGACTAGAATCGCTGAAGCTGACGTCTGAGAAGGAGCGGAAGGAAACCCGCCTCTTCCCCAGAAACATGGATACGGAAGGAGTGGGCTTCGAATATGCCATGTTCCTTAACACGTCTGAGAAAAGGATGGTGTGTCTGTTCCAGCCGGGCCCCTATCTGGAAGGGCCTCCGGGGTGAGGAGGTCCCGTTAATTGTCCTCCCCGAGAGTTGTGATCCGCTTAACTGCCATTGACTGGGGTGGGAGAGCGGCAGCACTCATGTCTCGGGAGATCATGTTCAACCCTTTCTTACGTCACCTTCCCAATCTGCCTTTCAGGTTTGCCCACGGGGGCTCCACTGCAACGATCATTGATAGCACGATTGGGGGCTGTGCTATATTTGTCGCTGGCAAGGTGATGACGGCTAACCTCAGTATAAACTACAGGAAGTAAGTGAATTAAGGCTTCTGTGTAGCCTCAGGGCTTACCGATAAAATCAGGGGGCCTGCAACAGTGCAAAGAGATTGTAAGCGCTTCGGGGCAGAGCCCAGCTCCTGGGTCTGTGTTTGTGCAGCACCTAGCGCCATGGGTCCATGACTAGGGGTCAGATGATAACTTCAATTGCGTCCTGCTCTGGAATGGTTTGACAACTTGGTGCCCTTAGGTTTGTAGCCCTGTTCATCCAGAAAGATCTAAGTATGCTTCCAGCTCAATCAATGTACTATTGACCGGGCACTAAGGAATCGCTCGCCCCTCTCCAACATCCAGACAAGCCTTTCTAAGGAACAGTGAGCTTGCAATTAAGGCACTGGATTGGAATCTGGGTTCAGACTCCCTTTAAGACCCTGGGAAGCCACTAGATCTCTCTGTGTCTCTGCTCCCCATCTGTAAAATGGGGACATCACCTTTCTACCTCACTGGGGTTGTGAGGATAGTCACATCCTCCTAAGTACTCCTCAGAACAAAAGCTGGTTAACTTCTATAGGCAGTAGAGCAGTGGGCTATCTAGGATGGCTCTGCAAGCACTGGAGTGACTGTGGGTGAGGATGTGATGTCAGAGTAGAAGCTGATGTTGGGAGCCACTGCTTAGACTTTCTGTCCTCTCTGGGTGATACAGCTTACTGGTTAAGGTTGTGTTCTCCACTGTAACCCGAGCTTAATGAAATTCTCTTCTAGGAAACTTTAGATTGCTTCACCCGCCACTAACGTGCTGCCACCTCTGGGGTGGAACGCGGTGGCTGTTTAACAGCTCGCAGGTACGCTCAACGGCATAGGACAGGAAGTGGAATCTCACTAACAATCAGCTGTTTTCTTCTCGCAGCCCCATTCCGCTGGGCTCGGTGGTCTTGGTGGACAGCAGAGTGGACCAAGTCGAGGGAAGGAAAGTGTTTCTGTCCTGCCAAGTCAGGAGCATCGATGGCCAAACGCTTCACGCAGAGGCGACCGGTAAGGCTCATGCGGCTGGCTTTAATAGATGAAGCAGAAGCTGTGGGCACTTGGCCCCTGGGCGGTCAGATAGGGCTGTGGGGCCTCAGACTTTCTGTCCCAGTGGAAATAGCTTTGCCTGGGGAACAGAAACGGTATCTGGCCCAGCGTGTGCCTTCCCATGCTGGTACCTGGACATGACCACAATGAATGAACCCCTGGTGACATGGAGTCCTGGGTGCTCCCTCCCCTTCCCCTTCCCCATCTCCAAGAACCGTCTGTCTCTAGGTGACCCAGTCTAGATGCTCTAGATGGGTCATCGGCTGAGGGCTAACCCCCGCGGGGCCTGGTACTCAAAAAGCACCGGCCTCCGCCGCAGCAGGCTCAAAAGTCTGCGAACCAGCCACTAGAGGGCAGCAAAGCCCTATTCTATTAAAGCACGGCGCACAGTGCAATCTGCCAGCCAGCCCTGTCCCATTGAAGTCAGGGGCTCCTCGCGAGCGGATCCTGCTGTAGGATCGAGGCCTTGACCTGGTCTCTTCACTGCGTAAGGTACAAGCTGGCTGAAGCAGTGAGGAAATACCCAGCACTGGCCCTTGCTGCTTGCTTTGCAGAGACAGCCTGCAGCTCCAAGCCTCTGTCCCTTTCACAACGTGGGGGGGAAGCTGCAGGGTCCCCCTACTGGAGAGCTGGCAAAGGACAAACCACTTGGCAAAGCAGAGCGAGTCGCATTTCTCCAGAAGAGCAGTGGTGCTCTGCCTGTCTGCAAACAGCCCTGTGCCATAGGTTGCAGAGCACAGGACAGACACTTCCTCTCCCTGGGAAGCGCCATGCGGCTCTTTGGTTGCCATGGCTGTTCTGAGCTGACGCTTCCATCCTTTCTTCCATCCCGGTTTAGCCCTGTTTATCCGGGTGGATTCCACAAAGTCCCTGCAGCAGCAGATGAGCTCCCAGTGAGTCGTCTTGGCCTGTCAGACGACCAGGCTGCAGCCGAGCCCACTACGGCCTCTGCTTCTCTCCGGTCGCTAATTCCCTGCTCTGATCTCTCCTGCTCTGAAGAGAGAGCTCTGCCCCGGACTTCTCCTGAGTAACAGTGCCGTGGTGCAGATTCTTCTGCATTCATCGACTCTCTGGAGGCCACCTCTGCCCATTGGGCTCTACTACAGCTGTTGTGTCATCCCACCTTCAGCTGGCCGGTCAGTTTCTGATTAACCTCCGAAAATGAAGATCCCATTCGTTGCCTGCTGTACAGGGAACTGCTGCTGGGAGTTGGTGCCGTCTATGGACTTCAGAGGCTGTGAGCATGTTATTGTGTGTTACAACTTCAGATGTTTTATCAAAGGACAAATGCGATTAACCCTTGGCCAGCCACTTACTGCACTACAAGCCTGTAGATTCTCTCCTCTCCTTCGGATGTCTCTTACTGCTGTTTCCATTTTGTCTGCCAGCCCTCTTGTCTGCTGAGGAAACTTGCGTGCTATCTTGTGATCCAGCATGCTGTCTATCCTTCACAGCGTACGCGATTTACATGCCTCGGGATGGGTAATGGGTTTTAAAACCTTACACGCTAGTTCACCAGTTCAGGTCTAGTTCTACCAGACAGGGTGATCCAGACCCAGGTTGTATCTTCTCCTCCTGGCTGTGACCCATTCTCCTTTAACATGGAGAAGTGGGGAGGAGGGGGAAATTTGGCTTCCATGCCTAAAAGAAGGAAACATAGGACATAATTTGTCCCGGTCATTGGAAATTAGTGAACAGATCCGTTAGTGACACGCGAGCCAGAAGAGAAAACAGCTCCTGCTCTCGTAAGCTCTGCAGAGCCAATGCAGGAACGAAAAAGTAGATCCGAGTCCGATTATGGGATAGATCTATGGAATTGGAAGGCACCGTCATGCAAGAGTCACCGCCAAGCTTTGCAGAGACATTTTTAGGGCTGGTTGAAAATTTTCAGTCAAAACCTTTTTCTTTTTCGTGGAAAATCGGGCCTTTGATCAAATGAAACGTCGGCAAAATGCCTCTGCTTTCCACGGCAGACGTGCGTGTTTTCCATCAGAAAACGGAACACGGGACTGGAAATGATTTTGATTCTGAAATGCTGCTGTGGTTCAAGTGCCTCTCGCTCCTATTCTGTGTGGGCCGGGATCCCTGGCCAGGTTATGTCTTCCATAATGCAGCGCAGCCAGGCAGCTGTCCTGAAGTGGGGCCTGCCTCACCAGGAGGCACCGCAGCAGCATTTCACAATCACGCTATTTGGGTAGCAGCAGATTTTAGTCAGACTAACCCTCTTTCCTCTTCAACCACTTCGTTCTCCAGGGCCCCGATCTTGCAGGGAGCAGATCTCGGAGCACCAAGTTTGCTGCTGATTTGTGACCTTAACTATCAATAGCCAGCACGCGGCCTTCTTTCCTTTGGGAGTGAGCTGTCCCGGGGAGGGAGAGGAGAAAGGGGTGGGGGCGAACTCTTGGCTTCCCTTCCGAACTCTGCCACCGCCTCAAGCGGTCATGGGAAAGTCACTTACCCTCTGTGTGCCTTGGTTTCCCCACCTATAAAATAAGGGTCGATGAAACTTGCCTGTCCTGGGAGGAGAAGAGTGAGGGTTAATTCAGCTTTGTCAAGCACTAGAAGGGCTAATTATTTATAGTAGATCTCTAGTTGCGTCTGGGATATCAGGCAAAGAAAATGTTAATGGAGGCAAAGGAAGTAATATATACACTTGTTTATTTATTTTTGTAGTTAACTCACTGCAGTCTTGCTACATTAGCGAGAACAGCAGGTTTTGCAGAAGCCCCCTGAGGAGTTTGCCTGTAGCTACCCTTAAAGCTAATCTTGACTGGGATTTGAATTTGCTCACTAAAGAGTAGCAGTGCCAGTGGCCGCCACAGAAAGTTTGTGTTCCTGAGATCCAGGGATTTACACACCTTGCCATGAAGGGGCAGGCTTTCAGGACAACTTTAAATCCTCAGTGGAAAGGGTTTGTTTGTCTTTTAAACATCTCACCTTGTGCGAAATCTAACCTCACCAGTATTGTCCTGGTAGCGTCGCTTCTCCCATCCTGCAGCTGCTCCGCTTCTGCAACTAGACAGAGCTAATCGGCTGTAGGGTCTCATCCCGGAACCGAGTGAGGGAGCAGTTTCTGTTCCTCGGTCCAAGTAGATCAAAGAACTCCCATATGCTGGGATGGGGCCTATGTATTTTAAGTTATGTAAATGAATCTATAAATGAGCATTCATTGCCAGTAACTAACATGTTCTGTGGCGTCACAGTGTGAACCAACAGCGGGAGAACTACCCACAGCTGGCACCAGGGAAGTATTCGTGTAGATTGGGCTCTGGCATCTCTGCCATGGTGCTGTCTATCCCTGCTCAGTCTAGACACCAGCCTGGTTTAACACTGCCTGCACCCGAGCTGTGTCCACGCTCCTGCAATTACTACACTGATGGTTGGAGAATGCTTCGAAAAATTCTCACCATAGACAGCCTAGTGCAAAGTGCTCCATAGGAGAAGCAGAGCATGAAACTGACCAGGCTAGTTCCACCTTCAGAACTGCTTGAAGAACAAAAATAAACACAGGGCAGCAATGCGGCAAATCGGATCAGGTCATGAAACTGGAATAATTGTTAGGCTCTCAGCCAGTGCCAAGAATGCTGGTAAGGGAATCTCTCACAACGGCTGGTAGAATTAAAGGCATTAGAGCCTCAATCAGGGGGCTGTGATGTGAATTGACTCTTTGTTCTTCACCCAGTGCGCAGGGTTTAAAAACTTGAAATCATCTCTCTCAAATATCCTGGTGCCTGGGGGGGGAGTTGGTCTTGGTTTTGAGTTGGATTGTTATCTTGTTTGTCACTGTTTGGAGCATCTCCATCTGAAGGGGAGGGTTTCTGCAATCTAAAAGGGGCATGCCTAGCAAGGATTAAAGATGTTTATTTTAGAACAGATACGTGCTGGTCCTTTTTAATTTTTTTCTCCCCCCCACTCCCCGCATGGAACTGTGGCCGGGTGAACCCTCTGGACAGCATTGCTCTCGGGTTGTGCTGGGCTGCAGTAAGCCACCCGGAGAGGGGTGGGTTGGCTCTTAATAATAATTAGGAGTGTCCTGGTCTCTGCTGCTCTCTGTTGTTGTTGCAGAAGCACCTGGAGGTCCCAGTCAGGGATCAGGCCCCGCCCCCCCAGTGCTAGGTGCTGCACAGACACACATGAAGATGGTCCCTGACCTAACGAACGGGCGTGAAGTATAAGACGAGAGAGAGCGGTAGCTACCTGGCTTTGTGTACTGCCAGCAGTGCCTCCCTCCTGCCAACCACTCCGGGATTCTCTAGGTAATACATCAAAACCCTAGGTCACCCCTAGGGACTGCCAGGCTGGAGCAGACCTGAGCTCCATCTAGCCCAATATCCTATTTATGACAGCGGCCAGCATGACATCTTCCAAGGAAGGCATCCGAACTCCCCCGTAGCAGATGTGGGATAATCTGCCTCCCCCATCGGCTCTCAGCCTGATCCCTAACAAAGAGATTTGTGAACCCCGAAGCACAAGGCTTAACCTCCCTCCTAAAGTGTTTGTTCCTATAAACTGTGCTAGCTTTGGCCAGTCCCATGAGCCATGTCAGTGTCCCTCTTAGAATCTACGCAATCTCTGGCCTGGGCGATGCAGACTAGACCTGGCCTTACTGACCCACGGGGTTGTCTGTGCTGTACCTGGAGCTCCCTCGCTGCCAAGAACTGGAGGCACTTCACACAGTTGTAAAAACCGGAGTGAGCACACCCCCACCTTTGTTCTTTTCTTCTTTCTCAGAGGCTGATCCTGAGGGGAAAGAACAACCGTGTAGCCTTGATCAAACACAGGGGAGGGTCGGGTCTGCACCGGCCTTTCCACCCGTGTTGAATTACTTTGAGTTAATTGGGTCTCTCTTAACTCAAGGTAAAAAGGAAGTAGAGTGAAGACAAGCCCCTGCCCAATTGTTTCCCCACACACAGCACCACGAGGCAGGATCTAGGGGATAGAGCACCCACGTGTGACAAAAAGTACTGGGAATTATTATTACTACGTTGTTACTACATGCAATAAAGGCCTTGTCTACACTTACAAGTTTTGCCGCGTCAACTGTGCTGGTAGAATTAAAGCAGCAGCCCTGCCTTGTGTAGACACTAGGACGTCTGTCTAAAAGGGCCTATGCTGCTATAGTTTAATCCGATTTGGTGACGCGAGGTAAGCCATGCTGCCAGGGGGTGGCTCTATGTATTTTACTGCCCCAAGCACAGCAGTCAGGCAGCCTTCGGTGGCATGCCTGC